TTTGAAGTCCAAGTAATTTAGAACACTGTAAGGGGGGAAATGATGAGATTCTGCATCAAAGACAATAATTTCTAACTTTACGATGTCATAGGTATGTCCCTAACAGGACACACAACCTTTCTTGTCAGTTGCAATGATGCATATCGGTATGCCCTGCAAGGTGCTCTAGAGTCCAATTGTACAATAGGACCCATGGTGCAACAACTATGGCCCCATTTGAGCAGTGGTCCAGGACATGTAACTATATGCCCGCTCCCCTCCTGGCAATACAAGCCTTGTGTGCTTCACAATTCATCATTATATGATCTTAAGTAATTTTTAAATGACGTAGTCAGCCTTCTGTAAGCATGGATTCTGCATCCAGGTATTCAACCATTCACAGCTTGTAAATATTCCTCCCCACAAAAAATCCAAACAACAAACCTTGATTTTGCCAATTTATATAAGGGATACCATTTAACTATGTGTTGGATGCCTTCAAGTCATTTCCAACTTTGGAGACTCTAAGACAAACCTATCAGGGTTTTCTTGCTAAGTTTCTTCAGGGGGGGTACCATTGCCATCCTCTGAGACTGTGAGACTGTGATTTGCCACAGGTTACCCAGCATCATAAATTTTGGTATCCGTGGAGGGGGGAGTCCAGGAACCAAACCTATAGATACCTAAGAGGATGCCAGCCTATATTTGATCCCCACCCCAATGTCTAAGAACACTCATGTCTGAAAATGTCTCTGCAGAGAAAACCTCTTTGGGACAATAATTCTCTTTTTGAGACATTAAGTGTTTTGTGTGTGTGTGTGTAAAAGAAATAGAGTGCATGGGGTGAGCCCTACCATTAGGGAGAGTGAGGTGGTCACTTCTGCCAGCTTATTTTGGATGACAAGAAAACAGCAAATTTGATACTTATTTTCTAAAAAGGCAAATGAATGGGATCTAGAGCAAATCAGGCTTGAACACTCAGTAGAATACAAGTTGACTAAACTGAGGCTGTTGCACTTTGAACAAATCATGAGATGACATGACTCACTAGAAAAAAATAATAACATATTTAAGGCAGAAGAAAAGAGCAACACTGCACTGCAGGTAAATTGATTTCACCAAGGAGGCCACTGTCTTGAGTTTCCAAAACAGTTTGCAGTCTACACCTCTGAGATCAAACATAGAAACAGACTGTGGTTGAGATCCTACACAGGGGGTAGTGCAGCATATATCTCTGCATATGGAAGTCACACATTGATTGCACTTTGCAACCCTTGTGATGAATGCCAGCAGTGTGTAACTAACTATGTACTTGAACACACAACTAAATGCACAACTGCAAACTGACACACAAGCCGATCCACATTCACATGTGCAAAAAGAACCGCTTCTGCAAGATGGAACTGAACGCAGACATTCTGCATCAGACTGAACTGCCCAACAACTTCAGTGGGCATAAGAGGCCAGCAAGATTCTGGCCTTGGTTTGCTACTGCAGACATGTACTTTATTTGGCTTGCAATGCATTTTGTGGAAGGAAGGAAGGTAAGCTGGTTTAAACATCTGACAAATGGGCAACCTCTAAAATGCATGCACACATTCTATATTCAATGAGGGCATGCATCAACTTTGTGAGTCCATTGAAAAAAATGCACACAAAGCACAAACTGGTGGCTTTCTTTCTGATTAAAAGAAAATTGTCTGGGAATCACATGGAACAGGTATAGAGGTGGGGTAAAGGATGATGCCTTCAAAAATGGACTTGGCAGAAATGCCTATTACTAGCGGGCAACTCAAGGTTTGAGAAGTCTATAGGCAAATGTCTTTCAGCTGCTCCCTTCCTACAATAGTTGGGCTGGGGCTGATTAATTTATCCAGCATTTAGCAAATCATTTAAATTTCTACACTGACAAAATGCATTGCTGTTCTACTCCACAGCATAAAAATAAAGGGCAGTTGATTCCCTGTCCTACTTGTAGGACATAAGGCAGGCATTATAGAATCATAGGCTTTTAAGAGTTGGAAGGAACCACAAGGAACATTTTGGGGGGTTGCAGACTGCCAGAAATAGTGCAAATTGAGTCCACTTTTAGGGTTAGGGTTACAGTTAGGGAATCATGGGAACTGTAGTTTATTGTGGCACCAGAGCTCTCTGACAGAGAAGGCTCAATGTCTCATAAAAAAAACCAATTCCCATGATTCCCTAGCACTAACCCTAACCCTAAAAGTGGACTCAATTTGCACTATTTCTGACAGTCTGCAACCCCCCTTAGTCCAACCCTGCTCCATACACAGGAATACACAGCTAAAGCACTCTTGTAAGATGTCCATCAAACCTCTGTCCCTCAAACACCTCAAAAACAGAGTACACCAAACTTCAAGGCAGTCTACTCTGTTGAACAGTTCTTACACTAAATAAGTTCCTTTTAATTTTTAGGTTAAATCTCTTTCCTTGTCATTTGAATCCATTGATTCATGTTCTATCTAGTCTCTGGAGCAGCAGAAGATAAGTTCACTCCATCTTCTACATGACATTATTTCAGATATTTAAAGATATTTAGAGATGGCTATCATGTCACCTTCAGTCTTCTCCAAGCTAAACATACCCACCCCTCTAAGTCATGCCTCATAAGGCTTGGTTTCGAGACCTTTAGTCATATTGGTCAGCCTTCTAACTAATTCCAGTTCCAATATTTTTCTTGAACTGTGACAGGCCCTGCCAGGACTCTGGAACTGTGGCAATTCGCCAGAAAGTCTTCATTTATGCCAGAGGAGACTCTGTTGCTGACTTCTTTCCAATGTGCAAATCTGCCTTTTACAAAAATATTTCAACCAACTTTACAAGAAACAGGTGAACTGAGAACTGGGGGGGAAATACACCTCAATAATAGAATGGTCAGGCCTACAAAGATATTTTGCTGCTTGAGACAAATAAGAAAATGTTGCCTTTTCCTTTCCATGTGCAGAAGCCAACAGGATTGACATTTGAACATTTCCTCAACAGTAGTGATAAGAAAGCATCTGAAGGCAGCAGATTATCTTGGGGTGTGGGACAGGATGCTTAGGTCCCTCTTCCAACTCCTTCCTGCATCCCATTGCACTACTGAAGGCATGCTAACCTCAGTCTGAGAATCTGATAACAGGCCAATAGATTTTATGATCAGTACCATCTCCTAAAAAGGTTTGCATCTAGTTGACCATTTATATTTACATAGATAAACCAAATGCATCAAAACCAGGCCCTTTTAAAACAGCAACATAGCATTAGCAAGCAAGTACATTTCTATACCGCTTATCAGTGCACTTAAGCACTCCCTAATTGTAACATTATTTTGTTACAATGAAAATTCATAAGGTACATAAGGGGATTTGTTGCCAAACACTATATTCTGAATCACAGCATTTAGCTATTATGTGCACTTCTTTCATTATTAAATAAAAAGCTAGCAAACAAATGGGAATTATAATCAAAAGCAG